GTTAAGAGAGCAGGTAAGTTAAGGTGCCAACAGAATGTCAACAGTGCGCCAAGGAAATGAAATGAAAATTAAAATGCGCACAGAGACAGCCAAGTGAGGTGCTAGGAGCAGGAGTCGTAATCTAGGCAGAGGCACACACCAAGAGACCGCAACCTGAACAATGCCCGTGGCGCGTTGTCACGTGAATGGCACAGGCAACCAATCAAGCGTCGCATGACATGCAACCGGGGTGTGCCGCACCACCGCACCACCACACACCACCACACGACCCCCAATCCCCAAGCACCAGACCATACGCAGCTGCCCATATTACAAACTCAATGAACGTACAGCAGGAGCTGAAGGAGGCAAGCCAAGGCAAGTCTTCGCTGTCATCGCTCGCCTTGGCACCTTTCTGCTATTTTGTTGTCGGCAGGCAGCCCAGCTCGTTTAGTTGGTTAGTTTGGCGTTCAACAGTGGGCTCAGAAACAAGCACTGTGGCACAACAAAATTGCCCTTGACAACTTTTTTATCATTTTTCTTCTCCTAAAACGTACTCGTATCTTAAAATGTTGAAGGTAGAATTTTCTTAATTTACTGTTTTATATAATTGTTTTTTTGTGGGATATATACTTGTTTTTTTCTTTCTATATTTTAATTTATCTGACTAGCTAAATTAAATCAAACGCAGGCTTTCCACAATGAGTCTTTTCCGAGTAAATTATTAAATAATAGAAATATTGAAAATTAAAATGATTTTATAAAAATTAACATCGGAGTCATCCAAATAATATCACTTGACTTAATTGGGAAAACAACTGTTTTATTAGCTATTATTTTGTTTATTAATTTTGTATTGTTTGTATTCTGCACGATATTTATATCTTCAATTTGTTGGTGGTGCACCACAGTGTGTCAGAAATTGGCACATTGGCACGTCGTTGACTCGGCTGCCAGCTAGCTGCCCGTTTAGTGTGACACGTCAATGCTTTCATCATTTAATTAACTGTTTCGTGTAGCGTGCAGTGTGCGCCACTGTGGCTACAGTGGCTTCGTTCACTACGTGCCTGGACACATGCGAAATATGACGAAAATCAAATTTCAATATGCACAGCACCAGCACCAGCAGCAACTGCAGTAGCAGTAGCAGTAACAGTAACAGTGCCAGCAGAAGAGGTGGGTACGGATGGCAGCTAACTGTGGCACACTTTGCATTCCATTTGATTGATCGCCAGGTACCTGGTTGTCTGTCTACCTTTCTGTCTGCCCTGCTGCCCGTCCCTGCTAAACGGGAAATTTAGCTGTCAATTTGTGAATACGACTAACGCGTGAGTTGCATGTGGCAAGCAATATATTCGGGGGGATGTGGGGTGAGAGCAAGCAATTCACTTAAGTTGGGCGTTAGTTTAGTTAGCCAGTCATCGAGCTCTCAATTTGTGTGCAAATTGTGGCAGTTGTGGTTAAGTTTTATATGAAAGTTTTCACTTCAATTCGTTAAATAAATATCAAAACCTGTAAGCAGTACATTTACGATTCAATTACTTCTTGAACATATTGATATAGTGTTGAAACTGTTTTTGAGAGCCACTATAAAACGTTTTATATCAATGGATGGATGGTCACACTTTAATCAAGACAAGAAAATATATATTTTTAAAACATAATTAAATACGAATAATACCAAGAAATAATAACAAGTATTTTCACAATAATTAACGGTCATTTAAAGCATTAAAAAGAGGGATATTTGAGCTTAAATCAACAATCACCATCATCTTTATTTTATTTATAAAGGAAAATGCTCATGATCAGCAAATATATTTGAATAATTTAGCCTATCACGAATGATACGCATATAAATTATTCAGTGCGAAGCAATCAAATTTTGTTGAATTATTGCTTATGTCACATAATTTAGCTAAGTTCCTCCAACACTATATCATTTTCTCACTACTTTTGTAGCGTAAGCTGATAATTTATAATTTACTGACACTAAGTGACATATGTTGAACACTGTCGGCTTATATGCTAGACAACTTTTCGAATTGTACTCGTAGCAACACAGAGCTGTAATAACAACTGACTATCAAATTAACAGATAAACTTGTAAGCTATAATTTACGAGGATAGCAGCAATCGTATACATAAGCAACAACAATAACAACAGCAACAACAATTGAAAGCACTCTGTGTTAGATTGAAAAGAAATTCAATGCGATATTTACGGTGATTTATGTTTTTATTTGCAACGTTAGAGTTTATACATTTAAAACAGACACACATTGGACAGACAAAGAATGGGGAGTGTGATAAAAACCAAAAGATAGAAACAAAAAAAAACAAAAGGACGAAAAACAAAATGAATGTAGGTAAACATATACTCTGGCATATACACACATACATGCGTACATACGTGAATATAAAGTTCAAAAAGGCAGACAGACAAATAAAGCGGAAATGTTAACAGCAACGAATGTTGCAAAAGGTAGATGAGAGGGGCAGTGGAGTGTGCAATGCACGCAGAAGTTGGTGCTTTGGGTTATTTTGTACATGATTTCCGCTTAAGCACATATGCTTTCGGTTAGGTAAGCAACTATATAGCCGACACTCGCAATGTGAGTGAGTCTGGAAGCATAATTTATGTTGCAATTTATATTTTCGGACAACATTGAGCCAGAAAGTAACGTGCGCAATTTAAATTGACTGCACACAAACACACACACTTACAGATACACACTTGAATGCTAAAAAGCAAAAGAGCCATATCCTCCTATAGAATCAGCTAAAGTGCAGCAAATGTTGCTGTCTTTGTTGCAACTGCAGTCGAGTGGCGGCTGATGCAACATTTGTTGACATTAATGCACTAGAGATACAAACACACACACACACACACAAGAGAAAACGTTAAAATACGAAAATAATATCTGATGTAATCATGGACTGCAGTGATAGTAGATACACTTCTCTGTGTAGATTTCGAAGTAATCTATTTACATTTATACAAATTCAATTCCCCTTTAGAACGCGCATTGGATAATTATGCCTCATTCCAGTAAAAATAGATACAAGTTTCTTTCAATCGATTGACTTAAAGATTGGTTTGAATACTCTAAATATCTACAAAAAACAAAATTAAGGGAGTTTAAGGAAGATAGCATTATAGGCAGGAAAGAAGCCAACAACGTAACTTTTCCACCATAAAGCATTTAAAATATACTTTGTTATGTACATAAGGAGCTAAATACATAAAAGAAAATATGCCCGCTAGTTTTATTATTTAGAAAAAACAAATTTTTGATTTACAACTTACATAAATTCAATGAAAGAAGCCATTAAAAATAAAAACTAATAGCTATTCGTTTTCAAAAATCAGCTTTTAAGAAGACATAAGCAAAAAGGTTAATTTATGTACTCCCATTAAATATTTGTAAGGTACTCCAAAGCTTGACATGTTGGTTCTTAAATTATCGGTTTTTTTAAACGAACCAAAAACGATCAGACAAACATCTCTTGATTGTGAACATTTCTCCATATAACCAAAGGGTATACACTTTCTTTTGCCTCTCAAGCTTTCATGTAAATGTACCCTATCAGCTCAAAGTGTAGTGCAGAAATATAGCGTGCATTTTCATTTGGGACATGGTTGGAATGTATGCGAGCACATCGAGCCGCTGATGTCCCGTTGAAAAGCGCAGTTATGCGCCAGGTCCTGCGCCTTTTGTCCTTTATTCTTTTTCCCAACAATATACAGTTACACAATTTTCGTCGTATTTTGCTTTCATTCCGCACAAAAGGCCAGGCGGCAAGTGCTTGAAATTGTCTACAACAGTGGCAGCAACAGCAGCAAAAAGTGCCATTCACAATGGCAGTGAAGTGGATCGCCCTCTGAGGCGTTAGCAGCAGCAGCAGCAGCACCAACAACAACAACAACAACAACGACACAAAAATGTCAAGTAAATAGTTGTTTGCACAAAAATTGGCAACAGGCAGGTCTCATGGACTACAGGGACTTAGCTCTGTATGACTTAAATTTGTACGTAAACTATTCAAGTTGTTGGCTTTTAGTTGTTAAGTCTACAAATTCTGATATGTCTCTCTGGGACTGAGACATAAAAGAATTCGTAATGGTTTCACAACATATTATGGCCATTATTTATGTATGCACCAATACTATTCAATGCGCTCAACTTACATATGTATGTACCTATGTGCATATATGTATACTTGTATGTATAAAAGCATTATAAAATCAGTCTATTTACCGACAGTTATATATTACTTATACACGCTGCTCTGTTGTATTATTTGATTCCGATTATTTCGTCGTTTAGATTGTTCAGCATTCAATATACCAAACAAGGAAAGCGCTGTTGATTATTACCCTTCTATGTATCATCATTGGCGCTTTCTATTTAAAGTTCATATGCATATGTAAGTGAAAAAAATTAACGTTATTTCAATTATAGTAATAGCCATCAGACGCAAGATAAGACAAAATATAATGTACGATAAATATATCCATTTAAAAATGATATTTTCTTATCTAATTTCTTATCTAGTTGCCTATTTTAACAAAAATTAAATGTAGGGAATTTTTTCTCTTTTAATAAGAAAAAAATTGTTCTCTAATAATTTTGAAGGGAGGAGGTTATCAATTCGTCTGCATTTGTTTGTTACCTCAGCATCCGCGACTGATTAACTGATTTTCATGATTGTTTTTCCATTTGAAAGCTGGTGATTCCTGTATGCTCTCAATATGGTTAAAGTTCTGACAATGGCATCCATGGGAAAACTACCTTAAACATTTAGTCCAAATACCTGAAATTTCTATTCCTGAACAGGATTCTCTTACTTCAAAATCATTTTCGAAGCATTAAGTCATTTTAAATGTTATTTAAAGCCAGATATAATATTAATTCAAATATCAATTTTGAACAGACTGTTCCATGTTCCCAAAAAAAATCCCCTTCCCATCTCTAACTTCTATTAGTGATGAACATGATATTCAGTCATTTTATTAACTCCATTGGTCGGCCAAGTTATCTTTGAAATTAAAATCCTCCGTTGGTGTTTTGACAATCAGAATAAAATTTTCCAAGATCACAAAATGCCAAACAAAGACGATGCAAATGCCAAGGATGCTGGTGAAAGGGACGAGGACGTAGTGTTATCTCGAGATGCCTCGGCCCAGACAACAGAGGACATTCTGGCTGCAGCAGTTACGGGCTTGAAGGTAAATAGCTCTGCTGATTCAAATCCGAACTTGCGCTCTAAGCAAGTGTTGGAGCACATGTTAAAGGAGCTTCAAGCTACATCCGGTAAGCTTCGCAGCAGCTCAAGCAAATTCGCCTTCTGGTCTACACAGCCAGTTCCAGACTTGGACGAGAAGGTGGAAGCCAATGAGTGCATCGAGCCAAACAAGGATATTAATGACATTCAAGCTGAACCTTATGCCCTGCCCAGTGCTTTCGCATGGAACATAGTGGACGTGGACGATGCAGAAGAACTGAAGGACTTGTACACCCTGCTGCAAGAGAATTATGTGGAGGATGGGGATGCCATGTTTCGCTTTCACTATCAACCTGAATTTCTGAAATGGGCTTTGCAATCTCCTGGTTGGAAACGCGACTGGCATGTAGGTGTGCGCGTGGTTAAATCTGGAAAGCTGGTCGGTTTCATTTCGGCCAACCCCGGCAAGTTGCGCGTCTACGACCAAACTATTCCGATCGTAGATGTAAACTTTTTATGCGTCCATAAGAAGCTGCGCCACAAGCGACTCGCTCCGGTGCTGATACGTGAAATAACGCGCCGCGTCAATCTGGCTGGCATATTCCAGGCAGTATACACCGCTGGCGTCTTATTACCGAAGCCTGTGGCTACATGCCGCTACTGGCATCGCTCCCTAAATCCCAAGAAACTGATCGATGTGGGTTTCTCGCATCTGACCCGTCACATGAAAATGCAGACCACTGTGAAGTTGTACAAGCTGCCCGAGCAACCTCAGACCAAAGGTTATCGTCGCATTCTGCCACAGGACATGGCTAAAGCACACAAGCTGCTCGAGGAGTTTCTAAAGAAGTTCTCATTGTGTCCAGTATTCAATGAGGAAGAGTTTATTCACTGGTTCACTCCGCTTGATGGTGTCGTCGATTGCTACGTTGTTGTCGATGAAGAGGACAACCTCACAGACATGGTCAGTTACTACTGTCTTCCGTCCTCCATAATGCATCATTCCGTCCACAAGACTTTGAATGCCGCCTATTCGTTCTACAATGTCTCCACCAAGACACCCGTACTGCAACTTGTCACCGATGCTCTCATATCAGCACGCAATGCAAAAATGGACGTCTACAATGCCCTTGAGTTGATGGATAACAAGGAGTTTCTGACGCCCTTAAAGTTCGGCATTGGCGATGGCAATTTACACTACTATATGTTCAATTGGCGTTGTCCAACCATGAAATCTGAAGATGTTGCTCTAATCCTCATGTAGACACGTACCGACACCACTCACCGTTACAATTTGTGCGAAATAAAAAGCTGCAGTATTCTATTTCAAATATATTGTTCTTGAATCTCATCCACAATAAATGAAAATACATTTTATTACTTGACCAACTAACAACAATTTTTCACAATTCCCAGTCTCGATACATTATCTTGAAAAATAAATGTTTACAATACCTTTTTACATTCCTAAATATGTTTAAGGTAAGGATTCCTTCTACCACTTGTCTCCTACGAGTGTTAATTCTTAACAATCTCAACTGATCCTATTCTAGTAAAGTCTTATTTGTAACCACCTATAGTATTTACAGATGTACTATAAAGATTATGGATTCTACTTGTCACATAAAAAAAGTAAAGAAAAGTCGTATTATTTAACACAGAAAATAATGAAGCCCAACATAACATCAACTTTAAAGCTCCACAAACTTCATCTGACTCTAAAGGAGTATATGCTTGTACAAGTTCATAATTTCCCTTTTTATCGCATCAGTTTATTATAAAGAGACAAAAATGTATCTCTTTTTTTAAAAAGATTGATGCACATTGTTATATTTGAATGGATTAACCCTTTTTAATCTCCCCTCTTCTACCTTAAATTAAGTATAGTATTTAGCAGGCCAGTTTTTATAAATTTTAACTCTTGGTTACACTTATAAATCGCGTATCTGATAAATTGTCAACTGTCAACCTACTCTCACTTTAATTTGCCTGTCATTTCAACTGAGCTGGCTGAGCTGCCATTTGCCATGCGCTGCACATTTTGTGAGTAGTAAGCAAAAAATAAAACTGTAGATACAGGTTGCCGGGTTGGCAGTTGGCAGACAGGCTGCCAGGCTGCCAGGATACATGGCCCAGATGAAACTAATTACGTGAACGACTTTACACGCAGATAAGACTTAAATCACCAAAATGAAAATTTCTTTGCTGTAACCCAAAGGTTTTGAGATAAGGGAACATAAAAAAGGAGCAAATGGAAAAAGGGGCAGAGAAGGGGTGACCACGAGGCATGCAAAATGTAATGTATATAATGTCATTAAGCAGAGCATTAGACACTCACCCAAACACAGGCATTAATGCCAAGATATTTGGACAAAGTGTTAAAGCCAAAAACGCGACCACGGCGCGGGTTAATTACGCTACAAACAATAAATTACTTGCCTCACAGAAAGCAGCAAAGAAGATGAGGAATACGAAAAAGAAACGTGGCGAAAATGAAAGAAGATATTAGTGAGCAAAAAAAGGGACGGAAGTCCGTGCATGCATGTGACCCTAATCAGGCTTAGGGTTGGCCCCCACCCAACACCTAGGCTTTGACTTTGCCCAGCATTGAGAGATGATTACATTTTTGGCCACTTCGCAAGTTGAAAGCGTTTCGGAAAAGGGTGGGGAGGAGACCGTATTGTAACGTGGGGCAACGCATATAACCGTTACATACACACCATGTGTTGCATTATCTTTCTTTCTCTAAGCCCTTCAAAATTGTTCTCGCATCGACCAACAACTATTCAGAGATCCAGTTTCTCTGCTTTGGAAACCATTCATTTTGCATCGTCTGGCCTCTTCACCTTCGTCTCTAAGTTCTTTGGCCTCCTCTTCCACATCCTTTCTTGTGCTGTCAGTTTTTCTAAGCTTGCCGTCATTGTTCAAGTTTGTGACATTGTACATGTTTGCCAGTCACTTGGTCGCCTCCTTTCTATCTTTTCTGTAATTTTTTCACTTAATTTCTCTTTTGTTTTTCTGCTGCTCGTCGTTCTGCAGTTCGTCATGTTACAAAGGAATTTTTTAATTATAAAATGTGTTTATCCGGAATTAATTGTTATTTTTGTCGGACGACGTCGAGCTCAGCAGTTGAGTAGCAGTAGCAACAAAAATATCTTGCCAAATTGTGGCCATTTCTCAGCTGACTTTTTGCTAATACCTCTCAGCATGACCATGATGTTGTGTTTTGGTATTTGTCCATCTAAAATACACAAGTATGTGCAAATTTTTGTATCAACTTTACGCTCATTGCACAATCTCTGGCGACAGCATGAGCATCCTAGTCGCCTTTGAGCTTACCCTTTACTTATAATGTTAAATTATAACTTAAATATGTTTAATGGAGCACTATTATTTCAAAGAGCATCATTTTTTTTCCAACCCAAAATTGTGGCCACCTAACAAACCAGAGCACGCAGCATATATTTCTGCTGAAATACGTTTTAAAACGAAATCACAACCAATTATGGTGCATAGTAAAAGAAACGCATGTATCTTGTCCAGAAATTGAAGACTGAAGTTTTTAGTGAAAAATGGAATGTCGTTTCTATTATTTTTTCCATCACTGTAAATCGAAATTTTTCTCAATGCAATGTTGAACTTCAGCTTATCTGTACACATATTTATTTTTAAACTAAGTATTTCTTGCGGCTCTGATATTACTTTACTTTTCCATAAAATATATAAAATTTAATATTTTATTTGCGAAAATATAAGTTACATCTTAAATCTTTCGAAAACGCAGAACGCATGGCAGAACGCATGATTAAACAAGTCCATGTCTACCATATAATTTAATAATTATCCTCCTTAGGACAGATCTTAAATAAAGAATTAATAAAGATTTTTAAAAATCTTTCAATCTTATCTTTTCTAGTCAGCCCTGCTTTTTATCTCACTCAAAATTCATAGGATTTTATTTGACAAAGAAACACATAATTAATTCCGTTTAGTATTTCATAAAAATATTTTGTATACCGTTTCAGACCCATGGCCCAAAATCAATTGAGGAACTCGTGCGGCACCAAATGTCTCGCCAACAAATCGGCCAAGCACGAGTCTGTGAAGCTACAATTGCCACTAGCATCAGACGTTTATAGTATGGCCCCCCACACCAAACAGAACACGAACAATAGCAATATCACACTTAGCAAGGATAAAACAGCTTCTCGAAGGGTGCGTACAAACCCGGGACCCAATATTAACAAGCCACTCTCTTCAGTACGCCGAGGTGTCTCTTCCACCCAGCAGTTGGGCTTTCAAAACAATAGGCTACGAAGGGGAATAGTCAACACAGCTCTGATACCCCAGAAACAGCCGCCACCCGCCAAACAATCACAAGCCCAATTCATAAAGCTATTGCGGCAACAAGAGACGCAACCGGCTCCAATTGCTTCGAAGGCACACAAAACTGTACCAGCAAGTAAAGTCGAGGTGCTCTCTTATATGCCAACGGAAGCGAAGCCCAATTGTGCCGATCCCAAGCGGTCACGCAGTCCAGTAAAAGCCGTAGATAAGACGGCCAAACCAGATGGACGCCATACGCGCAACAAACACTTGACCAGTAGCACCAAGAACTATTTCGATAAGTATTTGAAAGGAGCCTTCGATCTCAGCACTCCCGAGGGTGTCCGTCAGCTAGAGGCGCACTTCTTTCCCACAGTTCCGGAGACTCATGGCGATAGCAAAAAGCAGCAGGAGGCCAAAGAGCAAGGCAAACAGCAGGCCAACATTAAGAGTTTGCGCAAAATGGGCGACAAAGGGAATTCCAATGAGGAGGGTGCAACCATCACAGCGGCGCAGACTTCGAAAGGGGGAGCCATCAATAAAGGCCAAGGTGTCATCGAGTCCAAATGTTAAAAGGGAGACTGCTTTCCAGTTCTTAAAGCACTGATAGTTCGATAGAAGGGATTTTAAATACCACAAAAGTTGTCTCGAGATTTCGTTAATCAAGAACATACAAAATTTTGCTAAGTTCTTAAAAATGTAAGCCCAAGTAGTACTACTCCAAATTAATGTGCTTTAAGTACGTATTTAAAACTCGTGTTTGCGTCTCTTTTTGTGTGAAAGTAAATAGTGAAATGAAAAGAGCAGATAAACTTTCTTAATTGCCAACACTATGCGGCCAGTAGATGAGCGTTTATAAAAGCTTTATTGTTGAGTATAATAGCCATTGGGCAAAAAATGTGGTTTGTGGCAATCTTTGAATATGGTCGGCAATGTTGTTAGCTGTTGTGCAAAGATAGCCAAAATGGTTTTTGAAAGTGCAGATTAAACCAAGTGCTCCAATTAATTTTGAAACCTAAATCTAATAATAACAATTTAAAAGTGTTTTAATTTTTATCGTTTTTTATTTATGAATATTAATATTTAAATCGCATTCGAAGGTTTTGCGGAACTAGCACAATCTTACTATGATTAACATAAGAAAACTTAATTTAAAATTGGAGATAAACGTTAGATCTGACGGGAAAAAGAGCCAAAATGGTAGAGCTCTACATGGGACTGCAATTAGCCTGCATTGCTGCTAATGTGCATGATGGTCAAATATTGCACACAGTCTAAATGAAATTTATTGTATGGGCATGGAAATGTATTGCACTTTGTCCAACAAAAACATACCCACACACACAAAAACACTCACATACGAGTACACACACCCACACAACACCACAAGCTCAGGGAACAGTACAAAAGCGACGCTTGGGCATTGTAAATCATAATCAAAACAATAGAACAAATGAAGCTAATGTGGCGCATGCAAACAACAAATGGACAAGTGTGTGTGTGTGTGTGTGTGTGTGTGTGTGTGTGTGTGTGTGTGTGTGTAAGATTATATACATACGAGTATATGTGAGCACGCCTGTGTGTGAGTGTGTGTGTGAATGGCAGCCATTGTGCGTGCATGCGGTCACGCCAAACTTTAAAGTTAGGAAATTAAAATTGTAAAAATAAACATGCAAGGCATTTGAACAAATCGACTTTACATTGCCTATTTTTTATAAACTCACACACACACAGCAGCATATATTATATACATATATATGTATGTATGTATATATAGCATGCTTTTGTGCGCTCAAAATGTCAAAGTGAAAGGCCGCGATTCCCTTGTTTGTCCACGAAATAAATGATTTACGAGAATACACATTTTGTTTTATTTAATTGCATATTTTCGAAAAATGACCCAACAATGGGGCGTAATTAGTGCATTGATTTATATATGCGTCGCTTGCAACAATTAAGCTTAATGAAATACAAACAGTCGAATACGCTTGTAATTCAATAAATA